CCCCCCCCCCTTTTTATGAGCTTAGCATGAATCAGAGATCTATCATTTTCTTCCCCTCTTCACTGAGGCTCATCAGACCTCATGACATCTGCCCCCCTTAAATTATGGATATATTGTAAGTTGATTACAGCTCCGAGGTGGAAATGAGTGTTTAAGGTTGAGGGAGGCTGGTGCCGTGTCTTTACATCCTTGCCGGTGGCGTAAGCAGCCTGAATGCTGCTTGTTTTGTCCCTGTAGCAGTTCGCCTTGTGAGCCACATGTTGGTTTAACCTGTTCGCCTGTGTCAGAAGCGTCTCTGCTCTGTGCTTCCGCCATCTGAAACCATAGCTCTTGTTTGGGGAGGAAACAAGGAATCAGTTTGCAGATCATCAGTGGTTGGGTTTTTTTTTTCTTTTTTTCTTTTGGTTCGAGCTCTGCTTTCCTGTTTAAGTCTTCCCTCTGTATGTTATAATGAATGAGTGCTCTCTCTTAATTACAGGTACGTTTAGGCACCCAGAAGAGCCAAGTGCCGCCTTAAGTCCTGTAGTTGTTCACTCATGGGTTTGTTTTGTTTTTTAGGTTGATGTGGTGCTGGGGGGCTGGGAGTGTGATAGGCAGTGTAGTGTTTGGTCAAAACATTTTGGATTTGACAGCTTGGCCTAGGGGCAACTGTGTGTGTGTGTGTGTGTGTGTGTGTGTGTGTGTGTGTGTGTGTGTGTGTGTGGGGGGGGGGGTCTTGCATCTACGATGGACCAAAGAAAGCCACAGAATATACCGGGGTGCCATTTTTTGGGTGTTCACCGTCTCCCAGTGCTGCAGATGACTGAGGACTCATTCTAATCTTGTTGTGTCGCTTCTCTGCTCTTCGTTGGGGTATCTTTTTCTATTTTTTTTTTTCCCCCCCAGCCTCCTCAGCTCCTGGCTGCGGTATGTTAGATAAAGTCAAACTGACAGTGTGCAGTTTCAGTGCTTGTAATGGTTCACTGGGGGGAGGGGGGTGTAAGCATGATGAGCCCGTTTGAGTGAGGTGGCAGGAATACTGGTTGCCACCTAAGTTTGGACAATTGGCTTCATTTGCGCTGATGTCGGCCTGTCGAAGCCAACACTCTACCAAATGAGGGCTT